CTCTAATCTTATTTGGCCTTTGTGTCGTTTGCAAATATTAAAAGTTGTAAAATTATGATAATGTAGTACTTCATGGTTGTAAAAGCATGTGGACAAGATTTGGCACACCACGCAATTAGCTTTAGCATTAGAACTATAAAAAAGTTTGCTTTTTGACCTCACTATTTTCCATTTTCATCAATACTCAAGAAAAGTGTTCATTTTCTCATTTGACTGTAGAGTGAATTAATATTTAGCCTTCTTCTGTCTGTCTGTCTTGAAAACCAAATACGCCACTTTTGACCACTTTCAAATTTTGGTGCATTTCCATAACAGGGAGTCTGCAGTGGGGAACCCTTAGAGCCATCAAGGTCTAATGATTTCTGGGAAATAAAAACGTATTTTAGTAGTTTAACTTGTCTATCCTTAATTCCGCGCACCAATAAAGCAGAACCCATAAAAATAAAAAAAAACTGGACATAAAAACATTCTTTGTATCGTAACTATAAAGTCATCAGTCATCCCTATTGGCAACAGCCTCAGACATGCTGCAAGGTCAGAGTGCGTGAACGACTGGGATACTGCAGAGGGTCAGGATGTGTTTTGCTGAAGCTTGCATTCTCCGGAAAAAATATGCAGTGTGAAGCTTCTGCCTACTCCCAGGTGCAGAGTTAGCCTCACCACCACAGCCAAGGGTTTAGGCTTCACTCCAACCTCCTGACACCAATACCAACAGGATTAGTCCTGTTCAATTCACAGAATGTTCTGTGTGAAAACAAAAACACAAACCGTCTAAACAAGTCGGCCTCTCGATGTGTTTATATTGAGCTTGTCCTCCTCTGGTAGCCAAGAGTCTTATCAATTATCATCAATCAATAGTGTTTTAAATAGCCTATAACCTATTAGCTGTATCTAATACTGCATTTTGGGTGTTTGTTGGGGTCCGCCACGAGCATTTGCCAGACGTCATCTTTAAACACTGCAGTTTTATGAGCCTACATTGCCAGTGTTAGCACTTATCACCTATTGATTAAGGCTACTGTAACTAGGCTATAACTAAGGAGTGTTAGTAACTATGTTAGTCAAAAACGAAGAAAAAAAATCATTTTAACCCCTTAAATGGCCAGGGTTCACCGGCGGGCCTTAAAGTTTTATTACACACTTCTATAACCTAAGAATAGCTCAGCCAGTTTGCCCTGACATCCCTGTAGTTACTGAATAATAAGCCTTTGTATGTAATAAGCCTTGGATTTTAAGCTTGTAAACAGTGTTAACATTTTGCAATGTGCCAGTCTTCCCCAGCCCATACCGTCTATTTGAGCCCATAAACAGCTAAACTTGGTCACCTTTACAATAAAAGTTCTGCTAGTCCCCCTATAGGATTACTTCTATGTTAGCACTAGGATAATGCTGGCTAATGTGCTTAATTCAAGATTAAGCACAGATATTTGAAACACAGATGTTTGAAAAGACATGCAATATTTTGTATCTGAAGTTTTCAACAGACTGTAACATGTTTTGAACTTGTTGTATGTTGCAGTTATATATCGACTCTTTCGGTAAAGGATCCTGGCGTAGAGCTGCCCTTACTGTTTTCTGGCTAACGACTACTGAAACCTGGTGAGACTGATGTATCTAGCACTTCCAGAGGCCTGCAGTCTGACGAAATTGCTCCCACCCATTGGTAATCAAAAGGCGATTGGTTGTTTCTTCTGTCAGGCCCTGATTATGTTGGTAATTCTGTGGGTGCCTTCAGTCCATCAAACCAATGGTCATGTAAAAATGAATTACACCTGTTTTTTGTACAGAAAACCACACAGAGCTTATAAGGAAACTCAGGGAAACAATAAAATACAAGGAAAATGTGGCCCCTTCAAGTTTTGGGTTCCATGATTTGGATTTATCTCAAATATTAACTGGATATTTCTCAATTGAAAAATTGTTGACCAGTATACGTCACAGGTGGATATTTATGTCTCTAAAGAGTCCCAGGAGCTCAAAAGCATCATCATGGTTATGACAACTGATTCGATTAATGGGGTCTTTGGAAACTGTGAATGCAGCCTCTCTCTCTCTCTCTCTCTCTCTCTCTCTCACTTGGTATTATAGTGTGAGATCTTGTTAGCGCCTGCAGTCAGAGGTGTCACATTTTCACCATGTTGCTCTGGTGGAGTTGGCTTCAGTCCTGAATACATAATCCAGAGCTCACGAGGTATATTCACCTTGAAGTGATTCGAAGTACCGCATAAACAGAAGATAAGACTACATGGAATTGGAAAAAATGCTGGGCACAAGAAAAAAAAACACACCCACATGCTCACCCACTCACACACTCACACACACTCACACACATACAGTCTAAACTTGAAGGAAAAAGAGAAATGTAAAATCACAGCAAGGAAAAGGCCTCATCATGAGAGGTGCAGTACAAAAGGTGGGCTGTTTCTGACTCTACCATGTGATGGCGCTGCAGTGTGGGGTTGGTTAAGATATGCCCTCTAAACGGTCAGTGCAGTTTCTGTCCCATTGTACAGATTAAGCATTAAGCTCACTAGCGAAGCTCATGGATCTATATATTTGAACTACCATATGACCACAGCAATGGCATAGATGTAAACAAGCAAATTTCAGTTGTATATTTACTACAGTCTCATTTTCCTAATTGACATCACTACAAGGGGATCAGGTGGGGTGTGGTAAATATTTACATGAGTGGTGTTGTTCCCCTTTAAAATCAACACATTTAAGCTGTGTTCTAAAGCTAGACGTCCCAAAACTTTTGATGACACAAACACACACACACATATATTGGAGAAACAAAGTTTGTTCCAACAGCAGCGATATATATATATATATATATATATATATATATATATATATATATATATATATATATATATATATATATATATATATATATATTATATATATTATATTTATATAATTCCATGTAAATGCTTGATCAAAATGTGCTGTAACTCTGTAACTCTGAGCATTAAATGCCTTTGGGTGCAGAAACATGCTAACTTCCGCAACAGGATTTAGCGAAGCATGGTCATCCCCTCACAAAGCTGCTGGCTGTGCTCCCTGCCTGTGAAAGCGGCCTTCCCCTGCCCGACCTCTCCAAATGCCATGGTCTGTTTGAGTCAACACATAGAATAAAGGAGCAGAGATCAGGTGTCAATCTTTATTAATAACTCCAGTCTCCAGTTTCACTCTGTAAAGTAATATTTCACAGTGCCTCGTCTCCGCGTCTCACTCTCTTCTGCTGAGTCTTTATAGGTAAAAATAAAGGCACACTGTATGAATAGGCCCTCTCTCCCCCTCTCTCTACCCTCTCTCTCTCTCAGTACATGTGAAAGTTCATGTGTCTATCAGCTGCTCTTTCTCTTTCTGAAGGAAGAGATAAAGGTCAGGCCTTGCTAGTAGCTGAAGCGCAGTCCGAAGCTATGTACATTCCCACTGGTGGCAAAACCATGTATTTACAAATCATAGGTCAAATATAGACCCACATAACGGTGACCTGCATTGGTGAGCCAGCCACTGGACTGCAAGGTTCACCCTTTTTCTTATTCACAGCTTTCTCAGAATCATTGTACACTCTTTAAAACAGAATTCTTTGGAGCGATGCCATGGGAAAAATATTGACAGTTCCTTAAAGAACCTTTCAGAAGAACGTTAAAGGAACCCTCTGACCAAAATGAAAAATGTAGCCATTGGCACTATGGCATGCGGCCATCCCCTGGGCCCCGAGAGAGCTGGCAGGAAGGCTGGGCCCAAACTCTGAGCGAGGACGAAGGCTGGCGAGGATGAACGCATGCCATAGCCACATCTTGACATGTTTACTTGTGTCCTACAGTGGTACAGTGGACTAAGATTGTCCTGTTGTCTTGTTTAAATACTACAGAAGCCCCGTTCTGACGATGCATCTTGAATCTACAACTACTTTGTGGTGGGCTGAGGTGCAGAGGGAAGCCAGATAGCTAACATTACTCATAGGAAACCAGGTATAAAATCATCATTCCAATGGATGCAACACATATTTAAATGGCAGAAAAGACTTGTCCAATGAGGGGGACAACAAGGAAAAGGTCTAGATACCCTACCTCTGTTTGGCTTCTTTACTCCAGCTGAAAGACTAAAAAAAGGCTAGCAATCACGGTTGGTTGGCTCCACAGGGATTCCCAGTGGTTGTATGTACGTGCATAATACATGCTTGTACTGTGGTGAAAGAACACTGATGAACCTACAGGGATACTGCATAACAACACAAAAACATCCAGTTTTAGGCCAAGATACCCCCTTTTCCTTTTTTGTAAACCATTTTGAAGTTAAAAGAACCTACACATAAAGGTTTTCCTTGAACTCAAACCAAGAACCATTTAGGAAGCCTTATTTTTAAGTCTATGTGTCGCTTTTCTTTGCCGTGATGACACCCAGCCTGTGCCAAAGGGACCAGAGCCAAATGTGACACTTCGCTGTAGCACAACCAGAGCAAGCAACAGAGACCCAGCCTGCTTTGCTTTCACTGTCCAGCTGAGCTTTTATTTTTAGTGAGGGTCAAAGCCCTCTTCAGAACTTAATATGGCAATGGAATCTCATCACCTCCCTCTCTAGCTCAACCGCATCTCTGTCTCTCAGGGAAGGTATCTGTGTCCCTCTTACTACCCCTTCACCGCTTCCAACAGGTGCTGTCAGAATCGGCCCCACCCTCTTTGACCTAGCCTGCCTCTCTTCCCGACTAGTCGGGCAATCATTGGTCAGTGTCACCCCTACTTTTTTTACCGCTTCCTCATTGTTTATGCAACTCCAACAGCTTTGCGTCGTGGGGTACCCGCCCCTGCAAGTCACTCGCAAGGGTTCGTGTGCATGCATGTGTTTAAAAGGAGGTGTGAACTGTCGGTCCTGCTCTTTTCTGGGTGGCGGGCACACGGACTGGACCTTGTTCCTAACTGTTTATGTAACCTGCCGTTAGGAACAAAGTAAAAAGGAAACAGAAACAAAGAAGGAGTTTTGTATTTTAGCAATCTGGGAAACATGAAGTGGGGCTGGGGGCTTGCAGCGATTCTTCTCACCTTTGGAATTCTGTCCTGGGGGGAAAGGGGCTTGGAGATCCCCGAGTACGATGGCAAGGACCGCGTCCACATACTGACCAACAAAAACTACAAGACCGTGATGAAAAAGTATGACGTCATGGTGATCTACTACCACAAGGCCATTGGGCAGAACCGCATGGCCAAGCAGCAGTTCGAAGTGGAAGAGCTTGCTCTGGAGGTGTGTTCACTGGCTCCACCAGACCTGGTACAATGGTTTGATGCAAGGAAAGGGGGATAAGGATTTAAGAGGAAGACGATGCAGGAGTAATGGTAAACTGGTTTGACTAGAATGGCCCTTAAAAGGCCACTAGGTGTCATATATCAAGAAAGAGCTGATTGAGATTGCAGCGGTTGAAGGTGCTGTCTTGGATTCTGGCCATGACCAATGTGGTGGAGTAGAGAAACCTCAGATGGTCCATGCCATGCATTGACATGGATGAAATAAGACCTAGTTGGTTTCATGAGAAGCTTGTCTGAGGCTTGCCAGGCAAAATGCCAGTTGAGTCAAGGGTTACTGATGATGAGGCGTTAAGTCGGAAGATTTGCTTTGAGTTCTTGGTCTGATTTATCAATGGCTGAATGAGCTTTGTGGACAAATGTGTTCACTTGTGCGATTAACCACTATATTGAGGCTTCAGCAGGCCTTGCTCTTGAAGAGACTGTGGAAAAAGCAGGCATTTACCAGGATATTCCTTTACTGTTTAACCCTTAGAAGGTGCAGCTATTGTCTGTGATAACAAAAGCATGGTATAATTTGATTTGAATTACTTCCTACTCAGCTCATTGAAACAATTAATTGAATTTGATGATTTACAGTATTTTTACCGTATTTTTGTTCATGATATAATTGGGATACAACATGTAATTACCTATGTAATCTAAATTGCATAGCAAGATGACAGTGGTAACCTCTAAAGGTTAATGTTCTGAGCACTTTGTGTAATCCAGCTCACATTGTATACATCCAAAGAAAACTTATAGGTGAAAGACAGGTTAATCCTTATGTGTGCATTGCCCGTTGATGTTTCCAAGCTGATGTCCACAGCAGAAGTGTCCTCTTACAGAGTCAGCCAGCCGTTATAAGTCACCTCAGCAAATAGCCCTGGACAGCTGATTGCTAACAGAGACAGTACTCTGGGGAGCGGTAGACAAGCAAGGGCTGTAGCTCACCTCTTCCTCATCCCCTTCCCAAAACTTGGCTGGGGTAGATGTTAGAAATCACCACTGTTTTGTTTTTTTATAACTTATCGATTTGACTCACTTCCACTCTGCGATCTGAGTTCATAGTGATGTGCTGTTGCTAAGAGCACTCCTGCACTCTTTAAACTGATGGCCTCCAGGAAGGTGGCAAACCGACTACTGATTTTAAAGAGCCTAGGAGGATCCTCAAAAAAGCTCAATAGCCTTGAGCTGTGCCAAACACAATTTAGGTGGTATTGCATTTTGGATGGAGGATTAATTCTATTCCCAGAGTTGAGATTCTATTATATATGCATCACATGGCCAAAAGCATTGTGTCCACATGTGCTCATTCCAAACTCATGGGCGTTAATATAGTTCCCCTTTGCTGCTCTAACCCCTTTGTCTTCTGGGAAGGCTTTCAAATAGATTATGGAGCATGGCTATGGGGATTAGCTTCCATTCAGCCACAAGAGCATTAGTGAGATCAGTACTGATGTTGGTTGATAAGGCCTGGCTTATAACCTTCCAATTCATTCCAATTGTCTTTGGGGAAGGCTGATGTCAGGCCTCTGTGCAGGCCAATCTAGTTATTGTACACTTTTTACACATGAGCACTGATATCCTGCAAAAGGAAAAGGACTTCCCCAAACTGCTGACACAATAACAATGTCTTTAAACACTGTATTCTGTCGCATTAGGATTTCCCTTCATTAGAACTAAGGAGCCCAAACCATGAAAAATAACCTCAGTCCATTATTCCTCCTCAACCAAACTTTACAGATGGCACTATGCATTCAGGCAGGTAGCGTTCTGCTGGCATCCACCAAACCCAGATTTGTTTATCAGACTGCAAGATGGCGACGTGTGATTCATCTCTCCAGAAAACGTGTTCCTACTGCTCCAGAGTCCAATGGCAGTCTGCTTTAAACCACTCAAGGCAATGCTTTGGCATTACATGTGGTGATCCTAGGCTTGTGTGGCTGGCCAGCTATGGATAAAGTGAATCAATAACATGACATGCTTGAAGACAGAGCTGCTGTATTAGGACTAAAATGATTAGCTTTTGTTGGTTTACGTTATATTTTGATGAATCAAAAGTCCATTGCAAAAGCCAATATTGCAAAAACAATACTGCATATATTACAATAGATTTTCCCTACATTTTGTATACAATTTTGAAATTTACGTTTATTTCGGACCTTGTTAAACATATTTAGGGCAAACTCACTCATTGTAGTGGAAAGGTCTTTGCAATATGGTCAAGTAAGGGTTGCTATGGGCACTGGCCAATACCTGAAATGATCCTAACACAGCAACACTTTCAGAAACTGGGCCTAGATTAGTAACAGATGACAGCTAGTGTAATTGAATCTAATAATCTGAGTTCTGACACTATGCTGGAACAAGAATATATCTGTTACAGCTCTGGCAGGACTGGAATTTGTGAATGTAGGGCATCTGAGTTATCCACAAGTCTAAATTGGTGCGGCAGTTTTGCATGCCCGTCATTTACTTGCCTTGTTTTTGGCCTAAATTAAAAAGCTATTTATTACAGCTGCTTGTGAGACCACATTAAAAAAAAGAGTTATGCTACTGAAGCAATGGATCAAAAACCACAATCCTCCCCCATTCTTGTAAGAGTAGAACATTGAAAATATGCTAACAGTCGTTCCACAGAGAACTGAAACTGAATGGCTTAGCCTCTGGTGAGAACCTCAGCAACCACGGAAAGACATTCAGATGCATCTAAAAGTGTAGCAAATCTCTCAAATCTCCCATCTTCACAACTAATTTCAGTTATTCCTCTTCTGCCTAAAGTCAAAGGCATGTTCTACTGAACACTGAGTGAAATGGTGACACCTGCTGACACCCTCAGCTTCATTCCACCTTAGCTCAAAGTCAAACATGCGAGAGAAACTTAGCTGCCACTTCATGCGTGCTATGCAGAGTTGCTAATGTTAGCAAAACTGGGCCAAAGTTAAAGACCTTTTTCATTACATCACCAAAGATGGACTCCATGACTAGGCAAACTATGTTTGAACACAATTTAATTAAATCGTAAATCTGAAAAAGAAGTTTTCTTTAGGGTCGGTTTTGCTTTACAATGCCCAGCATGTACCTCTCCTCCATGAATATGTAAGAACTGTACGTGAGGGAGCTTTGAGGCCCTGTTCAGACTGCCAGCCCAAATCCATTTTGTTGGCGTATCTAGATTGTATCCAGATTGATTTGTGATAGTCTGGACAGCAAAAAAACCACATGCAAATCAGACCCGAACCACATTTGGAGGTGGTTTGAAATGCGATTCCAGTCAGATTTTTACAAACCTGCCTCGGTCTGGATGCTCTGGCCGCTCAAATCAGTTTTCAAAGTGTCATTTGCGTCACTCATAACGCAACAAATGACAACGATGTCAAATCCAGAGTGACCAAAATGCTGGGATTCGAAAAGAGTGCCAAAAATTCATGCTTCTGCCAGAGAATTCTGAGGAGTCTGGAGGGCGAGATGATGCATCTCCATCTCTCCTGCATCCACATTTGAAATCCGTGTCACTAGCGTAGCTACGTAGTTAATGATGCATATGTTGTTACCATAGCAACCCATGTAGCTAGGCTGGTGATGTCTGGACACACAAATCTGATCTAATTACCTGCAAATAAAAGTGTGGACATCTCAAAAGATCTGATTTGAGAAACAAATTTGATGTGCCTGCAGTCTGAACAAAAAATGCTTTGGACATCTGGTTCCTATCATCACCACTGTGAACAATTCTGGCGTAAGTTTCTCTAGAACAGAGCAGCATTAAACCAATTTGAATGACCATTTACTTTATTTATTTACTTCACTCATCTTGACTAGAGGTCATAGACCAGGGGGCGGCAATAAGCAGCTCTTTTACTGTCCTGTTTTGCGGCTAGCTTGCCCAGCTAGTGGCTAACCAAAAGGCGAAGAGAACCGTTTAAGACGAACATAGTTTGGAGACAAAAGGACTTATTTGTGTTTATAATCACTCCAGCTGGTTTCCTGCTACGTTTAATCTGCAACGAGAAACTGACAAACACTAAAAAGTCGTGAAGTTGAAGGCAGCTTCTCATTCGCCAGCTTCTTGTTCGAATTTTCCCGTTCCACCTTAAATCATGCAGCAGAGGCATCATTTAAGGTGGAACAGGAAAATCTGAGCAAGAAGCTGACGAATGAGAAGCGACTTCAGCCTCGTACAAAAGGGTGAGAGACATTTTACAAGAATCTATTCCACTTTTGCAGAAAAGTTTCCTGCCAGAGATGCGAGAAAAGCAGCTATAGCTGAGCCAAAGCTTAAAGCAGAGCAAAGTAAGTCTGCGTTTGCATTTGTATTTTAGCCTATACTAGCACCTTAGCACACACTGAGACATATCTACAGCCAAGATGGTCAAATGGGCATAAAATGTTGAGGCTCCCAGAGTGGTTTGATTTTTGTTGAAAGGATAAAATGGCTCTTCTTAACATCTGCGTTGTCAACCCCTGCCATAGACTCTAAACTACCACCATAACTAGCATACTAGCATCTGTTCCTTGGTCACATCACCTCTGCAACAAACATCTCAAGTGACGAGTGGCCCCGGAAAATTTTTAACAGTCTAGAAGTGTAGAAAATCTCCACTTCACCATTTAGCCCTGATAATAACAATGTGCATTCGAGCCCTTTCCACTCAGCTGACGTAAAAACTCGAACCTTGGCCATCGTTTCGTCCCTGTCAGGAGATAAAACTACAGCCTGAAGGAACAGAGCTGCATTTGGATACCAACCTCCACATTCCCTGCCTCTCAAAGCCTGTTTTACAGCAAGTCTGAGAGTCTTCATTGTCTAAGAGCTCCTCATCAGAGTGTCTGAAAGTGCCATAGAGCAAATCCCTTAAGCTATCGCGCTCTTGTCATGGTAACCATAACATCATTATAAAGCCGTGCAGAAGCTCTTGTGCTAATGTTCTCTCTCTGCGAGGCAGCAGCATTAGCATT